CCCTTTGCTGCTACTGAGCAGTTCCCTTCCAGAAGATCAATGCTGCTCCCAACCATGGATGGCGAAGTGGACACTAAGGCAGCAATGCTTGCGGCAGGCTAGGGCAGGGGCGCATTTCGAGTTGTCCTCGCATCGGCGGCTCCTTCTGTTGGGAGGCGTCAGCACCCAGTCACAGAAGGAGACCCCAAAGGTTGGACAGCCCGCGACGCCCAAGGCCGAGTCCCTCGCTCCCCCCTACAAGAAGGTGAACTGAATCAATTTGTTTCTATGAATCGCTTTGTCCCAATCTCTTACACTCACTACTCTCTGTACCAAATCACTATCTCTCACCCTCACTGTCTAGCACTTATCTATCATGCTAGCGCATCACAAATCGTTCATTTACTACCCAACATTCTTTTCCCCTACTAATATTTCCCACAATTCTCCCGCCGAGGGACAGGTCTATGTATCAGGTATCATTGCCCTTAACCTCCTCAAATCAATTTCACCTAACTAATCTTTGTGCCAAGTTTCCAAGGCAGTGCACCACACATGGTTGGTGCCTACCACTACAAAGCGATGTAGCCTATCTCGATCCACTATCATTTGTTTCTATGGATCACTTTGTTCCAGTCTGTCGCACTCACTATTTTCTGTATCAAATCACTCTCTCTCAGCCTCACTATCTAGCCCCTATCTGTCATATTAACTCATCACAAATCGTTCCTTTACTCCCCTGCGGTCTTTCCCCCTACTAATATTTCCGACAGTTCTCCCGCTGAGGGTCCGGTCTATCTACCAGATAGCATTACCCTTGCAATCTCAGTGGTCATGCACAAAGTCTGGTTAGTACCTACCTCATCGAATCAATTTAACCTCACTAATCTCTCTGTCGGATTTTCGAGGTAGCACATCACACATGATTGATGTCTACCACAACAAACCGATTTAGCCTATCCCGATCCACTGCCAGTTGTCTGGCAGCTCCTGGAATACTAGCAGTTTCCCGTAAGGTGCCCATGTTCGTCTGGCAGACGACCATGCCCTGTGAGGCTTCCTCTTGATGTCCGCCGAGACCGCCGTTCTGAGGTTTGCTAATGCCAGTGCTCTGAGTGCTGCAAAGGTAGGGGTCTGTTGCTGGAAAATTAGGGTCGTGCGAAGCGCCCATACCGCACCCAGGAATGCTGCTCTGAGAATGTCAATCGCGTATGCTCGTTCGGGGTCAATGGGGGGGGGACTGAAGGTCCGGGCCCATCAGGAGGCAAGCTTCCCAGGCTTCCCGGGATATCGCTCTGCAGTCGCCCCCAATCTCCTGTCTCCACCATTCCCAGAAGGCTCTCTGGGGTGGGCAACGAAACCAAATGTGGGGCGTGTCCTCGAGGGCGTCTTCACAGTGTGGACATGCATCATCCGAGTTGTTCGTACGTTTGGCAAGAAACTGTCTCGTCGGAAGGGCGAGGTGGATGCTGAGCCAGAGCAGACCCGCACACTTCTGATCCGGGAGGGCTTGTAGACGCAGGTTTATGTTTCTCCAGGATCGAGGTGTCCATCGCTTAATGTATGCCTCCGTCAGCCACGCCCTTTTGGCCCAGCGGAGCTTAAGCTCTCGATCAATTTGGTAGGGAGTCACCAATGATTGATATATGACTTTCGTGTGGACTTGGTGCATCGGGAGAGAACGTCGTTGTGAGCCCTGGTGTTTCCAGGCCCACATCGTAGGATCTAGTGAGAGTTGTGACGGACGCATGTGTGGCCGGAACAGACAATGGGTTCTCCGAGAGGCTCCTCTCTTCTCCGTCGGGATAGTGATCGGTCTCACCAAGTCTGTCGGTATACAACCGTCCCTTTCCAGAGTTCTCTTGAGCGGTTCTCCAATCTGTCCGCCGGCAGAGGGGCTCTCCCAGGCCTCCACCCTTAGCCACGAGCCGTCGATAGGCGTACAAACTCGAAAGACGACTCGGGAAGGCGTGTCCTCTGTCTTGACCACCCACTCCCGGGGCAGCCTAATGTCCGCTCGCAGCGCCACGATCCATTCGGTCGGGATGGCCTGATGGATGGCTGAGAACCGGGATCTTTTGGCAGTCTGACCCTCCAACAACTTGAGAACGGCCATCTCGTCCTTCCAATCCTTCTCCTCCCGGTCCCAGAGGTCAGCCACCCTGGCCACCCCGGCGCGGAGCCAGGCCTTATCGAACGCTCCCTTTTCTCTTGCCCACGGGAAGGTCATTCCTGACTGGTCACAAATACCAGGGTTGTCAAAAAGGGGCTGTTGGAGTATCTGGTCAACTGTCTCCGGGGATTGTAGTTGCAGTGAGGCCAACTTCCTCTATTGCATAAGAGTCGATGTCCACAAGGCGCGTCGCTTGAGATTTATCAGAAGCTGGGGCTGCATCAGCGCCGTCTCAACGCCCGCCGGGTCCAATCTAATGGCATCAGCCATAGTCTGAAGCGTCAATATTTTCCAAGGGGCGTTGTCATCTTCCAGAAGGAGCCAGAGAATGGTGCTAAGATGAAGGGCGCTGATCTGAAGCATAGGGTCAATGAGGCCCAGGCCCCTTTTTACCCGTTGTTGGATGAGTTTTTGCCACGAAATCCGATAGATTGCATGCGCAGCGTTAGGGTCGTTTCGCCAGATAAATCTGCAGGCCAACGCTTTGTAATCCCTGGCGGGGACCGGGCCAGGGGAGGAAAGGGATCCAACGTACCAAAGCAGCGACGATGCGGCCGCATTCACCAGCAGGGCTCTGCCGAAGACACCTGTGTTCAAGGATCTGCCGCAGAGAACAAGGCGTGCGGTAGCCTAAGGGCCTCCATTTGACTGCCTTCAGTTAACACTTCTGGCATAGCTATGCCCAAATATATTGAGGATTCGGTCATAGCTTGGACCTTCATGCCTTCAAACAGGGGGGCTGCCGCCATGTCCGGAAGCAAGACAAGGGACTTATGCCAGTTTAATCCCGCACCCGCGTGTCATTCAAACGTGGAGATTTGAGTCCTAAGCGCTTGCACACTGTGTCTTTCCAAAATAATGACTGCTCCAGTATCATCGGCAAATCCCGAGCTCTTGAGCTGTTTGCCTTGCGGGAGTCTGAGACCGACGTGTCATGGAGATGTTCTATATACAGGATGTAAAGAGCAGGGGATAGAGGGCACCCTTGATGCACCGACCTAGTCACATTAATCGGATCTATGAGGTATCCATTAATGAGTAAGCGGGATTGCGCGCTTCCCATCAGCGAGCGCACCGCAGCCCGGAAAATCGGGCCAATGCCACGTCGCTTCATACCTTCTAGTAGGAAAGGCCAGGAGACTCTATCATATGCTTTCTCAAAATCTAATGATACAAAAACCACCTGCGGGCATTGTCGAGGGGTATGCTATAATATCTGCCGCGCTAGCAGGACACTCGTATGTATACGTCTGCCCGGAACGAAGCCTGTCTGCGTACGATCTATCAATCGCGGCAGGCTAGTCGACAGACGGTTCGCCAGGATCTTTGGAGCACCTTGTAGGGGGCCGACAGGAGCGATATGGGCCTCCAGTTCCGAATGTCATCTGCCGATCCCTTCTTATACACTAGGATGATGGTGGCAAGACCGAAGCCCTGCGGCAGGCAGCCAGTTCCTTGCCAGAAGGAGTTAAAGTCTTCCAGCAGGTGGGGCACAAGAAGCTGTGCGCATGCTTTCAAATGTTCCAATGGCATTCCGTCAGGTCCCGGGGCTTTTCCAGATGGCATTTCAGCCAAGGCTTGGAAGATCTCCTCCTGTGTGATCGGTTGCTCTAGTTGCTCCGCGTCCTCCGCTCCCAGGCTGGTGGTTATTTCGACCAAACGTCCCTCTCCAGACAGACCGCACTCTCTTTCTGCGTGTCGTCCCATTCTTCACTCCGTTCTTCTGACAATAAATAAGAATAGTATTCCTGAGCATATTCTAAGATGGCCGGTGTAGTATTTGCAGCAAAAAGTTGGTCCTCAAAAGGCGGGTTCAAGGCGAGCATGAGGGACGCGGGGCATTTCAGCCGCAGTCTTCTGAAAAAGGTTTTTGTCATGCGCTCCGCTGCCACAGTCCATTGCGCTTTGTTTCGGAGTCTCCAAAACTTTGCGTCCTGCATCTGCCACTCATCCCACTCGGCTTTAAGAGCCGTCCATTCCACCCACCATTCTTCCTCCTCGTCTTGGGCAGCCGGGCCGTCACCAAGGTCCAGCGCACGTTGGATGAAGGCTTCAGCGGTGGCTCTTCGTGCCCTCTTTGAGGATATCACCACTTGTTTAAGTAGCCAAGCAAGGGCCGCTGTCCCGTCCGTCAGCCACTGGAGTGCCGACTGTTGTGGATGTCGTAGGGATGACCAGTATTCCCAATGCTGCAACACCATATTACAGTAATACTTGTCAGCAAATAGCCAAGCCGGTACCGTGGAGGGGGGAGGTCGAGTCCGCAGTTCTCAGGGAAGTGATAGGGTGACCATGATCATCTTATGGTTCGATCTAGCTACCGGAGTTAGTGCAAATTTCAACAGGCAGTTCAGGGCCATCTGTGTCATCCAGGCCATATCAATTCGGCTACGTCGTTTCAGTGTCCAAGCCACCCAAGTGATGCCTTCTTGTTAGGCCATAGTACCCAGAATGCATCATCGAGGCCCATCCCTGTCAGGGCTGTCCGCATAGATACTGTCCTAGTATCAACCATAAATGATGCCGACTAGGGATTGGCGGATGTCTATTGGATGACTCTGCTAGCACCTTGTAAGAAATCAAAGTTTATGGGTTCCGGGGGGAGTATGGTTGCAAGGCTGAAACTTAAAGGAATTGACGGAAGGGCACCACCAAGCGTGGAGCCTGCGGCTTAATTTGACTCAACACGGGGAAACGCACCAGGTCCAGACATAGCAAGGATTGACAGATTGAGAGCTCTTTCTTGATTCTATGSGTGGTGGTGCATGGCCGTTCTTAGTTGGTGGAGTGATTTGTCTGGTTAATTTCGTTAACGAACGAGACCTCAGCCTGCTAAATAGCTACGCGGGGACCTTTCCTCGTGGCCAGCTTCTTAGAGGGACTGTTGGACGACTAGCCAACGGAAGTTTGAGGCAATAACAGGTATGTGATGCCCTTAGATATTCTGGGCCACTCGCGCGCTACACTGATGAATCCAACGAGTCGCTTGCCTGGGTCGAAAGGCCCGGGTAACCTTCTTAAGGTTYATCGTGACGGGGATAGATTGTTGTAATTATCGATCTTGAACGAGGAATGCCTAGTAAGCGCGAGTCATCAGCTCGCGCTGATTACGTCCCTGCCCTTTGTACACACCGCCCGTCGCTCCTACCGATTGAATGGTCCGGTGAAGTGTCTGGATTGCGGTGATCTCGGCGGTTTGCCGCTGGGGGTGCTGTGAGAAGTTCATTGAACCTTTATCATTTAGAGGAAGGACAAGTCGTAACAAGGTTTCCGTAGGTGAACCTGCGGAAGGATCATTGACACGTGAAYGGCCGATCTTCGGGGTGTGGGACGCTGGCTTGCTTGCCCTTCTGCCGCCCTTTGCACCCATCCTCCCTGCATCCGCTTTTCCCTTCCGTTTCATCACCGTCTTGGGCTTAGTGCCCAGCTGGCGGCTGGCTCGGCGCAGAGGGGGGCGTGGTGTAGGTCGAGGGTGGGTGGAGTGGGCAGGGTCCGGGGCCTTGTGGCGTTGCTCCCCCTTCATCCCGTCTTGCCTCCCCAGGTTGTTACCTCGGCCCAGCCCCATTCTCGACTTCTGGTCGGGATGGCGGTTGGTCTGGGCACGGACAGCCCTGCGGGAGGGTCAGGGGCGGGATGTCGGGTGGTGGCGGCTGTCCTCGGCCTGCGTACCCCCGCTCCTACCCGTCTCAGCTTTGTCCAGACCTCCTTTCCATCCCGGCCTCAACCTCAGCTTCGTGCGGAGCTTGTGGCTTGTTTGGGGATCGAGGGTCGTGGTAGAGGCTAGGGGCGGGGTGTGTTGAGGGGTCCTCGGCCCCTCCCCGTTTCGTCCTGCCTTCCTTCCCAAHGGGGTTCTCCTTTCCGGACAGATCGGCGTCCTCGACACAGTCGAGGTTGTCTGAATCTCGGGGTGGAGGGCCGTCGGGGGAGGGTTTTGGTCGTGAACGGGGCAGTGTCGGGTGGGGGGGGGAGGAGACAACGCTTGCACCCTCGTTGCCCCGCTGCTCCCCAGTGCCCTGCCTGGCCCCCCGAACAGGGGGGTCGGAAGGGCCCGTGGCAGCGGCCGGAGGCGACGACTTTGCAACTTCTTATTGATGTACCTGCTCTGATTTGTCGCTTTCCGGGTTGACGGCCCCCTTCTGTTCTGGTTAAGGAGTCGGTCCTGTCGGAACGACACCATATTGTAGAACTCTCGGCAAACGAATATCTTGGCCCTCGCAACGATGAAGAGCGCAGCGAAATGCGATAYTGAATGTGAATTGCAGAAATCCGTGAGCCATCGATACCTTGAACGCACGTGGCGCCCAAGGCTTCTCCCGAGGGCACGCCCGCCTGAGCATCATTGGATTCCTCACGACCTCAGCACCTTCCRTTTCGGAGAGTGGTGGGGTCCGTGGTCGTGGCTTCCCTCGCTTCCCACTTGGAGAGCGTCGATAGCCTAAAGTGGAAGGGAATTGGTAAGCATTCCGAGCGGGCCTGTAGGGGCGTTTCGCTCCGCCCTGTTGTTGCCCTCCAGCACCCGTTTGTGGGTGGTGGTCTTCGTTTCCTTGAAAACGGCATGTAAGGTCGTCCCTCCAGTTCGTGTGGTCGCCGCCTTTCATTGACTTCCATCAGCTTGAGGTGGGCTTGCGGTTTGGGGTGTCGGCCTCGAGCTGTGGAGGTATGTCGGGCCTTGCCTTTTGATCTCAGGTAGGGTGGGAGCACCCGCCCAATTTAAGCATATAACTAAGTGGAGGAAGAGAAACCAAGGATTCCCTTGGTAGCGGCGAGTGAACCGGGAATAGCCCAGACTGAAAATCCGGGGGCTCTGTTGCTCCCTGAATTGTAGTCTTGAGAGCCAACCTCTGCAGCGGGCCGTGTGCAGGTTCCCTGGAAGGGGACGCCGAAGAGGGTGACAGCCCCGTCGACCGCCGGACCCTGCTGCGCAACGAGGTGTTGTCCAAGAGTCGGGTTGCTTGGGAATGCAGCCCCAATTGGGTGGTAAGTCCCATCCAAGGCTAAATATGTGCGAGGGACCGATAGCGAAGAAGTACCGCGAGGGAAGGATGAAAAAAACTTTGAAAAGAGAGTTAAAGAKTGCTTGAAATTGCCGAGCGAGAAGCGGATGGAGGGGAAGTCGTGCGCTCCCGTCTGGGCAGGGGTGAACGACGATTGTGTTGTCGCCCCCCTTGTTGGACGTGGGGTGCCTGCCAGCATGGGCTGCTGTGAMCGGCATTGCGGTGGGGAGCGATTGAAACCCCCCACGGGTGGTCATCACGATAGTCGAGGACCTTGAGCACGCGCCTCTTTCGGCGGGCCCGTTCGGGTTCCTGCGTGTTCGGGATGCTGGCGAAATTCCTCTATCCTGCCCGTCTCGAAACACGGACCGAGGAGTTCAACRTGCATGCGAGCCGGTGGGTGATTAGCCCATGAGGCGGAAGAAACCTGAGTGGCAGGAACCCTCTGCGGGTGCACCGTCCGCCAGCCACGATCTGCTGTGAGAGGTTTGAGTGTGAGCATGCCCGTTGGGACCCGAAAGATGGTGAACTATGCCTGAGCAGGGCGAGGCCAGAGGAAACTCTGGTGGAGGCTCGCAGCGATACTGACGCGCAAATCGTTCGTCGGACTTGGGTATAGGGGCGAAAGACTAATCGAACCGTCTAGTAGCTGGTTCCCTCC